TCAGCACTAGTGAGGCCACATCTGGGCTACATCTAGACTGGCATGATTTTCCGGAAATGCTTTTAACAGAAAAGTTTTCCATTAAAAGCATTTTCGGAAAAGAGCGTCTAGATTGGCACAGACGCTTTTCAGCAAAAGCACTTTTTGCAGAAAAGCATCCTTGGCCAATCTAGACGCGCTTTTCCGCAAAAAAGCCCCAATCGCCATTTTTGCGATCGGGGCATTTTTTGCAGAAACAGTAATATGCTGTCTTCATTGGCCCTTTTGCGCAAAAGTCTTTCGGAAAAAGACTTTTGCCTGAACGGGAGCAGCATAGTATTTCCGGAAAAGCACTGACGATCTTACATGAGATGGTCAGTGCTTTTCTGGAAATTTAAGTGGCCAGTCTAGACACAGTCTTGGGGTGTTGGACTTTTGGGACTTTGGGTGATTCGTGGCAGGGGGAGGGTCTTTGCTCATGTTTGGTCTATAAATCCGAGTTGTGGTGTTTTCCCAAGTTAATGCTGATGTTGGTTACCTTGTATTATTAAAGGTTTGCTGCTATACTGAGGCTCTGTGCTTGCGAGAGGGGAAGAATTGCCTCTTTGAGGCACCCAGAGGTGCATGTAAGATTTCCCAGGTCACTGGGCGGGGGCTTGAGCCGGTGTTGTATTACCTTGTTGGGAGGAGACCCCTAGATACTGAACCCAGCCCTTGCTGCTATTAACTCCGCCTGGCAGAAGGGTTACGTATGCAATTGCCCGATTCACTTGCACAATCATAGTAACTCAAGGCCTAAATTGGGTGGGAGTATGCACATTTTTCACGCATACTTACGTGTGCCAAATTTTAAAAATCAGGCAATCGGTGACTTACCCCAGCGCAGCTCACAGATCCTGCGGGGGCTAAGACACAGATCCCCTGGTATTTACTTCTGTGCCTGAACACTGACTCCATTTTTTGTCCCATGTGGTGGTTGCTTGTAAGTATACAGAGCTGTAGAGCTATGCCCATGATAAAAGGTTCAGATGAACACCCAGAAAGTTGTAGTTTGGTGCTTATCCAAACCACGTTAGGATGAATATCTCTAAGGCTTCCACAAGTGTATTTCTTATTTCCAGTCATGGCAAGAGCAAAACAGCATCTTGATACTAGGATGAATATCTCGTGTCAATAAGGCTTCCACAACTGTATTTCTTATTTCCAGTCATGGCAAGAGCAAAACAGCATCTTGATACTCGATTCCAGTAAAAAAAAAAATGTAAACACAGCAAAACAACGAAAAAAAATACCTACCTACATTTAGTTTTCAAATCTCAACAGTCAGACATGTTGGGCAAAGGTTCCATCTGGATCTTCTGCATTCAACCACCCATAGAAACCCCAACCTCCGACAAAGCCAACTCGTTCTGGTTTAAAAGAGTGTTTCTTCTAATCTAGCCCAACGTTAGCTTGGCCTGCTCTTCTCCCGCCAACTGCAGCAACTTAGTTCAAAGAGGGCAACGCATGTAATAAAGTGAAAATTGGGGTTTCAGTTTCATGGCATGCCTTTACAAAGATGTGTTTATCCTTCTTGTTCAACGCCAGATGAAAAAGTTTAAGGTCTAAATTAGTTTTGCCCTCTCCCATTCGTTTATTTACATTATAATAATCCACTGTCTGTGAATTGTGTCAATTATTCTTTCCTCTTGGCAAGCCGAGAATTCTTTGTTCCTCACTCGTTTACAAAAGTGAAATATAGGTGAGGTTTAGGACCTTTTAATCCTCCTATGTAATTGCTGCTCCCTGCAGACAGCGCCACATTTTACAATCGCTGTGCGGGGCTGCTAGGCTCAGATTAGGCACACAAAGTCGCTTCACTTCATCAAAGGGTTCCTTATCTAACCAAGGCAGCGCCACGACAAACGCTCCCCAAGTCTCAGCGGCCCGGTGTTTATTTGACCGCCACTGAAATAAATAAATTTCCTTTCGACCAACGTGCCAAGGCTGGAAATTTCCCGGAGACGTCTGTCTTGGGCAGTCGGGTGGGTGGGAATTTTGGCGCCGTGTGATGGGGGTGCTTTTGAAGTGCGTTTTCCACATTGGAGGAGCCCAGATCAGGATGAAACTAAAATGACATGAAGAAATAATCCTCCATTCAGTCCTGAAAGGATTATTCTAATTACTTTGATTATTAAAGATCAGACAGATTTTTTTCAGCACAGGAGCATAAGTAAACCCAACCAGAAATACAAATCCTCACTGGGAATTGAAGAACGTCTTAAATAAACAGAGGGAACAAATGAGCTCTGTGACGGATATACAAGGCTTCTGTCTACAGCCTTAATCAGGCAGGCCTACCTCTGGTTTACTGGAGGCTAGGCCTTTGTGAGAGTTTGAATAGGGGCTAAATATCCCTTGAAATCAGAACTCTTTGGCTTCGTGAGCATATAGGCCATCTAGCCTTGCTCTTTTCAGATGCAAATGCAAGTGGTTTTCTTCTTTATCTCTGGAGTAAGATGCTGGTGTCAAGCTGGGCGTAGATGAATAAAACTGGGAATTTATGCTTTATTGAGATCTGGGTTTTTTTTTTCCTGCTAAGCCTCATTTCTCACTGCCTCTCTCTGGAAAGAAAAAAAAAAAAAAAAAGCACAGATGGTCTCTTCTGACCTGCTATTTATCATTCCAGCAAGAGCTTAGTCAGTGTAATGCTCCACAGCAATTCATTTAAGGACTCTGTTTGTTTCTGCTGATGAGGACTGTTAATTTGCACAGCAGTCTCATTAGGCCTAAACCACCAATTAATTTCTTTTGTTCTCATTAAATGGCTGATTCCTAAACATTTCGGCGGCAACAATGGACGACTCAAAGCTGCAATTCAGCCACCCTTCATCTCTGGGCCGAGTATAGATTGCTGGCGAGCAAGTCATTCTTCTGAAGAGCGCTCTAGAGGGCCGGCGGGGAACAATGGCTTCCGTTCATTTTCTCAGGCCCAATCCACGCATGCAAAACAGTTCATTAAATACATACATCTTGCCAGCAAACAACTAGCGAAGCCGGGAAACAAGTGTTCTTGAAGCCTTTTCGGTTGCCATCCCCTTCTTGCCATCCCCCAAGGAAGCTCTTTTCTAGCAGACAAGGAGCACAAAACAAAGGGGGTTTCCAATCGTTTCAGCATGTCTAAAATAAAGGGGTTTTTTTTTTGTCTCTGCTCCTTTCTGGACTTGTCTGGTGATGGGAGCATGCGGGCCAAGACTGCCTTGTGGTTTGTATTTTCCAGCTCGGTCACACGATTTGCAGCCGCAGTGAAGAGTCCTTGACTGGCGCTTAGCGATTTAGTCCAAGAAGGTGTCAGCTTTTGTCTGCCAGCGCGGAGAGGACAACAATTTAACCTCGTTTGACTTGCCGGCAATTCAGGCGTTCTTCGGAGAGTAAAAGACCCAAAGGGAGGCTATGCACCAGCTTCCCACACAGCCAAGCGAACCTCTGTGCAGCCGCCTGACATCAAACACGACACTGCGCTCACACGGCTTTCTAGCGTAGTAGTGCCTCTCGCTGTGTGTTGCCAGTGTTTGTTTTCACAAAGCGTTTTGAGGGGAGGTGGACAGTACTAGCTTGTGCAACACTTTTCATCCGCCAGTCTCAAAATGCTTTTCATGGGGGGATCATTATCCCCATTTTACAGATGGGAAAACTGAGGTACCGAGCAGGCAAGTGACTGGCCCAAGGTTATCCAAAGAAGCAGTGGCAGAGCTGGAAATGGAACCCTGAGTCCTTCTCCAGGACTTGTTACAGGCTGTCTGGGCTTTGGGGACAGTGAGAGGGCGGGTGGGGAGAGCAGGAGGATGCACAACAGCTGAGCGGTACCACGGATTCACAACTGAAACGCGATACTGAATTCCGTGCAACGCTTGTAGCCGGTCTGCTATCAACACTCACCCCCTGCAGTGCAGTCTCCGTGTTTTCTCCTCTTGTCCATGGCCACGTTTATTCCTTTCCCAGACCAAGGGCACAGCAAAAGCTAGAAAGAGAAAGAATGTGAAATGCTGCCCCTCTTTGCCAGCTCAAAGAATCCTAGGGCAAGAAGAGATCTCTGGAATCACCGAGGCCAGCCCCCTGCCCAAGGCAGGACCAATCCCAACTCAATCAACCCAGCCAGGGCTTTGTCAAGCCGGGACTTGAACACCTCTAGGGACGGAGATTCCACCCCCTCCCTAGGGAACCCAGCCCAGCGCTTCCCCACCCTCCTAGGGAAAGAGTTTTTCCTAATCTCCAACCTAGACCTGCCCCACTGCACCTTGAGCCCATTGCTCCTCGTTCTGCCATCTGCCCCCACTGAGAACAGCCTCTCTCCAGCCTCTATGGAACCCCCTTCAGGAAGTTGCAGGCTGCTCTCAAATCCCCCCTCACTCTTCTCTTCTGCAGACTAAACAGACCCAAGTCCCTCAGCCTCTCCTCATAAGTCATATGCTCCAGCCCCCTAGTCATTTTGGTTGCCTCCGCTGGACCTTCTCCAATGTGTCCACATCCTTCCTGTAATTGGGGGTCCAGAACTGGACACAATACTCCAGATGTGGCCTCACCAAAGCCGAATAAAGGGGAATGATGACATCTCTGGATCTGCTGGCAATGCTCCTCTTAATGCAACCTAATGTGCCATTAGCCTTCTTGGCTACAAGGGCACACTGTTGACTCATATCCAGTTTCATATCCACTGTCACCCCCAGGTCCTTTTCTGCAGAGCTGTCCCCAGCCTGTACCAATGTTTGGGATTCTTCCGTCCCAAGGGGAGAACTCTGCACTTGTCCTTGTTGAACCTCATCAGATTTCTTGTGGCCCAATCCTCCAATTTGTCTAAGTCACTCTGGACCCTATCTCTGCCCTTAAGTGTATCTACCTCTCCCCCTAGTTTAGTGTCATCCGCAAACTTGCTGAGGGTGCAATCCATCCCCTCATCCAGGTCATTAATAAAGATATTGAACTCCATCTCCAGTGATGGAGATTCCACAACCTCCCCAGGCAATCTATTCCAGTGTGTAAACACCCTACTGGGAAGTTTTTCCTAATGTCCAACCTAAGCATCCCCTGCTGCAGTTTAAGCCCTTTGCTTCTTGTTCTATCCTCAGGGTCCAAGGAGAACAATTTTTCTGCCTCCTCCTTGTAACACCTGTTTAGATATTTGAAAGCTGCTCTCATGTCCCCTCTCAGTCTTCTCCTTTCCAAACTAAACGAGCCCAATTCCTTCAGCCTTCCCTCCTAGCCCATGTTGTCTAGACCTTGAATCATTTGTGTTGCTCTTCTCTGGACCTTCTCCGATTTCTCCCCATCTTTCCTGAAATGTGGTGCCCAGAACTGGACACAAGACTCCAACCGAGGCCTAACCAGTGCAGAGCAGAGCGGAAGAACGACTCCTCGTGTCTGGCTCACCACATACCTGTTCATGCCTCCCAGGATCATGTTTGCTTGTTTTGCAAGTGTCCCGCTGTTGACTTATCTTGAGCTTGTGCTCCATGATGACCCCTCGATCCCTTTCTGCAATGCCTCTTTCTATGTGAAGTAATACTCATCTACACACTTCCTCTCAAGGGGCAGGTTATTTTTGCCTGTCATACAGCTGAGGTAGCTGTTACTTGGCTCCAGACTTTACCTACAACTGGTGGCAGCAGGAGGTGCACCAGCTACTCCCCTTGTCCAGGTTTACATGAGCTGCCTTTTCTGGAACCAGAGTGAAGGCTGCCTCTGAGGTTGGCATCTGGTGCTTTGCATTCACTGCCCCAGTTTGCGTTGCACCTAGCGCATCTTTGATGGATGCGCTAACGCGGGGGTGTCCAAACTTTTTTCAGAGAGGGCCAGATTTGATGAAGTGAACATGCGTGAGGGCCGACCATTTTACCTGACATTCTTTGAACCATTAAAATTAAATGCAAATTAACTATTTTATGCAAAGTTTATTGCAAACGGCATACTTTTCATTTCGTCACATGGATGACAAATCTAAACAGGTGTTAAATCACTCTGCCTTTCATATCTGAAGGCCAGATGAAAAAAAAATCCAGGAAGCTGAAATATATGTCAGGAACATTGTAAAGTACATTACATATTAGTGGTAATACAGGTTGTCTGTCAACTTTTAAGTTCAAAAAATATGAACAGGAACATAACACCAAGTATACATGTTGTGTCCAAATCTATTTATAACTGATTTAGACCAACTGACATTAACGGAGATTTTACAATGTGTTCATCTCAATACATATGGATTCGTTGGGGGCCATAAAAGATAGATATTGCCAAATTATTGCCAAATCTGTGGGGCCGTATTAAACCGGAACACGGGCCGCAATTGGCCCGCGGGCGGGACTTTGGACATGCCTGCTTTAAAGGCACAAAAGTTCAAGCATGATTCAGCCATGGAAGCGAGGCGGGAGGGGGGGGGAGACCCTCATTAAACTACAAATCTCTTTTACAAGGTCTGGTCTGATCCGGCCCTGGGAGCTGAGTCGCTTCTGCCTTGACCCGACGACACCTCATTGGTCAGCCGGCGGGGACCGGAAAACATCCCCTGCCCCCATCTCTCACCAGACCTGTCAGAGGAGAGACCGAAAGGGCGGACTGCACCGGGAGAGACTGCACCTCGATTAGATCTCGTTTTGCCAGGCACCAAGGGCATGTCCCATCACACTGTGACCTGCCAGGATTTAGCTGAGCTGCAGGGGTGTGTGTGTGTGTGTGTCCATCTTGACTGCAGCAATCCGCAGTGAAAGGCCCATCTTTAAGACAGGAAATTGAGCTGTGCAATTATGTCAAGACTCCCACTGGGGCCTGCGAAGATCAGACACACGCTCCCGGCCAAGGCCAGGCATGAGGTGCCAACGGCGCTATAAGATGTGCATCCCCAAACACTGACGCAGCACGTGCAAGTAGCAACTACGACCTGAGATGGGGGTCATTGCTGCAGGGCCCGGTTTCACTTTTCTGCGTGGCGCGGGAAGTTTCTGAGCGGGGAGGCGAGAACTCTCGAATGTCTCGACTCTTGAGGGAGCCAGACCGGAGGGAAACGCCCCAGACTCCTGACGCAGCACTGGGAACGGGCGCTGCTTCGTGTGGCCTTTTGTGTCTTGAACAGCCGGTGCAGGTACCGTCCTCGCCCGACATTTGCGTTCGGGAGAAACCAGCCGGCTCCTGAGAAGCTGCGATTCTTCGCAGGAATCGCCCTCGATGGCCGTTGTTTGCGCAGCTCCTGCATTCGACACGTCCCCTGATTTGGGGGGAGTCCAACGGACGTGTTTTAGTAGCCACAACACCTTCACTTCCAGCAAGGGGTTAAGGCCCAGAGGGGTGGGTGCTCTAAGCTGCAGGGAGAGAGCTCTCCGGTTGGCTTAGGAGCTCAAGTCCTCGTGAGCAGCAGTCGCTCTGTCAGCAGGAGAAGCATTATTCACACTGGCGCTTAGGCCCGGATAACTTCTGTCCCCCCCGGAGTGACGTGCACTATACCCAAGTAATTTGTAGTGTGCACGGAGAATTAACTAACCAACCTCAGGGCAGGCCCTTTCACAGTGATGAAACCTGCTTGGTTGGGTAGGCACGCATGGGTAATATTACATTCACGGGGGTGTTGAGAGCCAGACACGAGGAGTCGTTCTCCTGCTCTGCTCGGCTCTGCTTAGGCCTCAGCTGGAGTCTTGTGTCCAGTTCTGGGCACCACATTTCAAGAACGATGTGGAGAAATTGGAGAAGGTCCAGAGAAGAGCAACAAAAACGATGAAAGGCCTAGAGAATGTGAACTAGGAGGGAAGGCTGAACGAACTGGGCTTGTTTCGTTTGGAAAGGAGAAGACTGAGAGGGGACGTGGCAGCGGTTTCAAGTATCCGAAAGGGAGTTACAAGAAGGAGAGAGAAAAATTGTTCCCCTTGGCCTCTGAGGGTTGGCTGATGGGGCCCTTTCTCTGCCTGGGGCCGTCGTACACACCTCGTGTTTGCAGGCTCGCTGTGGGGAAGGCATGGCTGACCTGTTTTCAGGGCTCTGGGTGAAGCTGCCCATAGAGGTGGACATTTGAGTTTGCGAGTTTATGTTAACTCAGAGGCAGGGCCGGACTAAGGGGTGGGCTAGCCGGGCAGCCGCCCAGGGCGCCAACCTATGGAGGGCGCCTGATTGAAGTGGTAAGGGGCACCGCATCAGGCACCCCCCATAGTTTGCCTCCTGGGGGCATAGCACCCCATATACATCAATCAGGTGCGTGCGCCCGCTGCCCAGGGTGCAAGAATGGCTCAGGCCAGCCCTGCGCACTCCAGATGTACCAGTTCCCTCTGTAACCCATGAGACCTACTCTCCTCACAGAGCTGAGGGTGTCTTAAGGAGTCCCATTGGAGTCTCTTTCGCTACAGGGGTAGTAATCAAGTAGGAACGTAGTCTGTAAATGGCTATTAGCCAGGATGGGTAAGGAATGGTGTCCCCAGCCTCTGTTTGTCAGAGGGTGGAGATGGATGGCAGGAGAGAGATCGCTTGATCGGTACCTTTCGATACACGCCCTCTGGAACACCTGGCATTGGCCACTGTGGGCGACAGGACACTGGGCTGGATGGACCTTTGGTCTGACCCAGCCTGGCCGTTCTCATGTTCTAAATGTACATTAAAAACATTAAAAAATCCAGGAGCCAGGGCGGCCTTCTGGGAGGCAGGCTGAGAGCGGGAGCGAGGCCCGAGGGCCATGCGGGGCCAGGAAAGGCTGGCAGGCAGCTGCCGGGAGGAAGGCTTGGTCAGAGGGAAGGGGAAGGACTCTGTGGGCCAAGGGAAGGTGTTGGGAGGCGGAGACTGAGGCGAGGAGCTGACCCTACACAAAGGGGCTGCCGCCGTGAGCTCAGCAGCCATTTTCAATATCTGCTCTTCTCGTGGCTCGTGCAACTGCAACCCTGCCACGTTTCTAGGGTTGCCTGGAGACCGACGCGGGGCCCAGGGAAGCCGCATGTCCCTAGTTGTCCCCATCAGGAGCTCGGCTCGGAGATTCGGATTTTTAAGGCCAGA